CAGTTCCGGGTCGTCCGGGACATGTAGCCTTGTCCTTCCGGCAGATATCGCAAGACTTGATCTATCCGGACGTCAAAAACCCGGATCCGAAATATCCGGACGACTCACCTGAGCGTTGCCCTCTGCATCCGTCCAAAGACAAGTCCGTCCCCTGTTAGCACAACGCACGCAGGATCCGTCCCTTTCCGCAGACATAGCACGAGTCTTTCCATCCGTTAGAGAAATCCACCATATCCATCCGAAACTCACCATTTCTGCTACTATTTCCCTGCGTCTTTTCTCCTCCGCTGCTACAAGACTCTCAGCCTCCTTAATCCTCCGCAAATCCTCCTGGCGTTTCCGTTCCGCCTCCTGACGTTTCCGATTCTCTTCTTCTTCCATCCGAGCCGCAATTTCCGCGTCCGCTATTTGCTGTTGAAGCTCCAGAAGTTTCTGCTTAGCAGTTTTCTGAGATCCGGAGGTGTTGCCAGACATATCCGATAGAGCGTTATAGAGTGAAAAAGTGGGAAAGGAAGAATCGATCCTGGACGTCCGACCTTGTGTATATCTGTCCGATTCCGAACTCAGAAACTCCCCCCATCGACTTCTCCATCATCTCGCATTAATTTCGTCCGGTCCGGACCGATGCTTCTTGTGCCTCTAGGGATCGGCCCTAAGGGGGGGATACTGTCATATCCCATATATCCACGCTTCTCTTCCGGACTTCGGACCCTTAGATCCGGTCCGGTCCGATGCATAGATCCGCGTCCGGTCCGATATCCGATAAGCTTCTTAATTCATTTCCTGTTCATATAACGTTAAACACAGCCTATTCGGTATTTCCTCTTCCCGGTGTCTCGGTTATACTTATTACCGGTATGATTACTGATCCGTTATCCTATGCTTCATTTCCGACTCGCGTTTGATAAGCTTTGCATATGCTTCGTACATAGCCTCGGACCTTTGCTTATTGATCCTTCCGTTATCCTCTTAGTATATAAACCCGTGTATATTTCCTGTAGTACCTCAGTTCGAATATCATCTTAGTTTGTCCTCTTTCTGTCCTCCGGACTTGAGTCTAAACAACTCTTGTCGATCTCTGAGACTTCGGATCGATTCCGATAGTCTACGTCTCCGCCTCTATCTTCGGATAGTCTATACTCTGTTTGTTTCTAGTCCGGATCCGTCCGGATTAGTCTTAATACGTGTTTCCGATATCCGGAAGTCATCCGGATATAACTACGAGACCCGTCCGGACCTTCGGACGCGTTATCGTTAGTCTCTGAAATAAGGGACAGTACTTGGGAAAGGGGCACAGCGTACGAGCTGAGGCCGAAGTCCTTCGGATCCGATCCTACGAGAGTACGACCTTAACATGCAAGCATGACACATTCATATTTGATATAAGCAGTTCACACCACAAATGCATGATGATTGATAGATGTCCAGGCATCTGTTCCAAAATGAATGTGACCAGGGTGTTTCTGCAATTGTGCAGTTAGTTGAGTTAATTAAAACTACATAGTGGACATACCTGAAGCAACTTTGTAATGCACACCTAGCACTTTTCAAAAGATGTGTTGATGTCATGAGAGATGGTTTGGTTGGAAGGAAGGGTAATATTTGGTTGGCCAGCTGTTACAGTAACATTCAGACCCCTATACTCATTTCCCTTTTCACTTCCAAACGGGCCGTCCGTACCACTCTTATCTCTTATCATGCCTATCTCTTATCTCGCCAAGCGGGCTGTCCGCCTCTTTCTTGCTTCTATCTTGATAAACGCATTTACAAGCTCCGCTTGAACACTGGTATATAAACCTACCTACCCACTGTTGTATTCCTTACTTTAATCTACTGGGTTTTACCTGGAACATTGTCCTTCAGTAAGGTCTCCAACCTTACTGTCTAAGAACCACTATTCTAAGGGAGTCAGCGACACTCGCCTTAGCCAGAACCTTCGATCTCTCAATCGAGAGCAGACTTACGTCTATCTGGCATCCTGCCGATTGTCCACTCAGACAGAGATAGCTCGACTCATCCCAGTCGTAACACCAGCTGTCAATAGATTGCATAGTTCCCTGTCATTGATGATATTGATAGTGTAACAATACAACAATTGCTGGACCCTACATAAAGTAAGTACCCAGCAAAATATAATGTTGTGGTCTTGTACAGCCTAGTAGTCTGCTATACTTGCAAGACAAGTGTGTTCGACCTGAGGGGTTTGCTGTTTGGAATAGGTTTTTTAGTTAGTGAAAGGATAAATGGTCAAGAGTCCAAGCACAGGAAACAATGTTTGAAGGTATTATTATGAGTCCGATGTCAAAATGTTGGGTCCAGTGTTTTCAAGTTAGCAGGTTTGAGTTCAGGTTCAGCGGATTATGGGAAATAGTGATAGTGAATGTCAGGAAAGCGAGCAGTATGCGGATTATCAATAATGACAGGTGTTTTGAATAGAAAGAGCAGTAATATTTGCAATGTCAACTCAGAACTACGAAATATTGGGTTGGACCACAAGGCGTCGGGAAATGGCTCCCTACTACTTGGATAAATAATGCTCAAAGTCAGTCCAATATATATGTAAGTACATAGAAATCTGGAAACCTATAGGCGAAAGTAGTGGTGTACTATTTCAGATCCGAAGTACATGTAAATAAACATGAGGCACTGCAGATGATGGGAAAACATGTGATAGTGCTGGCTATGACATGAGTAATGTGTGAAATAATCAACTGCACACCTAGTGGGGCTAGCGAGACAGGGCAGGACATGGAGAGGATGAGTGCACAGGATTTCAGGTCGGCCAATGTGGCCAAAATGTTGTGTTCACTAGTCAAAGTGTTGGGTTGAGCGGGTAAGTGTCAGGTTACATCGGGAAGTGATTATCGTGTGATGGGCATTTGATGTGAATTGTAAAATAACTGAATATGAGCCTAGCACAAGCTCGAGTGCTACATTGGGCTGGTGATCCATCAGACAAGCCTATGTACCCCTACCCCTGCAGATTCCTAATGTCCTCCTCCAGTTAATTTGATATATATCAATGAGTCATCTTCATTACTCAAAACACTTATTTCTAGCTACCTACACATGGTTTTGTGCTACTGCATCATGTTATTCTCATCATGTCATGTTCATTGCTTTTGCAAGGCATCTACCTTAGAAGGACAGCTAATTAGTGTTCATTCAGGTCATGGATAGATTTTATCCTACTCTTGCCCTGTTCGAACAAGCACAACTGCATGATTGAGATACTTGCATCTCATTGCCAAGAAGTGGAGATCGCCAACAGACAAGTTTTCCCCCTTCACGAAAACAAAGAAATAGCAGTGCGAGTCCTAAATCAAATGGGTGAATAAGAGTTGAAGCCTGTAGTAAAGTTCCTTTCCCTTGACAAGTTTTTAATCTATGAAGTAGACAAACTGAGACATCAGGGGCTGATTTAAGGGTAGCTTACATCGCCATGTTCTCTTCCAGGAATCGTCTGCGCACCTTCGGATTTTCGCACGGAAGGTCTTGGCTTACATAGGGGCCTGATGGGCTGTGCGGTGGGAGGAACTGCACTGATGTGAGCTTCAATCAAGGCACCTTCACGCTTGCTGCCAGCAGCTTAGCGGACAGTTCTGTGCGAATCAAACCAGCATGTGACACACCAGTGAAGCCCACGCCAGGAATGTGCCTTGAAGTGACCTACACGCCTAGGGAGACATGCTATTATGATGCGTGCGTATCGTAGAAAGATGAAAACTTTTAAGATCCCAAATAGCTTTTGCAGCTCTGCTTTGGAATTCGCAAGCTATGTAAAAGTTTGATCAGAAAAATGCGAAACATGGCATTTTTTCGCTCACCAAATGATCCGCCCCCATTTCGAGTTCAAAAATACCCTGTTGCACTTTAGGCGCTTTGCTAAATCATCATGAGAGTCCATACGGTGTAGCCCCAGGGCATTTTGTCAAATAGTCTGACTACGAACAAATAAAAGAAGAAACAGAGAAGCAACCAGGTACAACATACCATTGAGAATGTCAACTACGAGACAGTCTCCAGGTTCGGCGCCCTCAACGGCAATTAGACCGAATAAATTATGGAAGCTGATCAGGTTCACCGTCTCCGATATTATCGCTCGCGCACGAAAACAGTCGCATTAAAGCAAACTTATATGATGGCGAAAGCCCGTATACGTACTGTCATTGTTATCGAATTGTGCTCCTGTCCAGTCAAACATTCGACATCGAAGATCTGCAAATGATTAAACGTGAGACAGGTACATACATCCAAGGGCATCATGACACACCTCAGATTTCACTGTGACAATAGCAGGAACGTTAGGACTACGAACATGGAACAGCGTACCAACTCACTGCCAATGGTTGTGCAAGTTCTAAAAAATATTAGCAAATGCTATAATTACGCTGAAACGCGGAACAAACCTTCTGCTCTCTTGCAATTAATCGACAACTTGAGTTAAAATATATGAACACAACAACGTAAAGCCTACACGAGAGGATAAGCCTAAGGATGCAATGCTCAATCGTCAACTTTCGCAGGTGAACAGGACGCAGCTGCGTACCAAAACCAAGGTTTGGATGAGCTACGGACTTCGCGACAGTTGCCATAGGTTAATATCTTTTTCTTTCTCTCTGACAAGATTTGCGACGAGAGGGCTGAGTTGACAGTGGATAAACATGATTGGAGTCAATAGCATATGATGACTCCTGATAAGACCAGCGAGACGCAATGGGTGCCACATGGGTGGATATCCTGTAACCATACGTCTTCATGTCTCATGCAAGGCTCAATTTTGGACCAGTTAGTAACATCAGAACGGAGCAGCGTAAGCCGAGATTCTCACCTGCTATCATGCATTCGCTCTCAGGCGAGTTCATACTTTACGTTGAGTCCTGAACGTGGGTGACAAATAGTATTCAATACAATTATTTCACAAAGACTCAAGGTTTCGGCCATGCTGCCTTCTTGAGTTGTGACGATCAAGTGACTTGCCACTAGTTGAAACAAGACTTTTACATCAAAACCAATGCAACCGTAGATATAGCCGTAGCCCCTAAAGCAGCATAACCAGCCCTGTATGCTCCTTTGAGACTCAAAACTTCGAGAACCACGTGAGTAGTCACTAACAAAACAAGACATAGGTGACATACATTTACCCATGTCCCAGCTCAAGTGTCGGAGACCATTCCAGAAGTGGAAAGTGAAAGGTGCAGCCAGGATAACCTTGCCAGTGTACTTCACGTAGTCTGGCAGCCCAGCAACGAACTCGACAATGTGAGCGCTATCGAAAGTGTCTGGAGCAACGAGGTATGCCAACGAAAAGCCGTATAGGACTGTATGATATCATGATTACACCACATTTCAGTCATTCGTGAGGAATCGGGACATACGCGCGCTGAGTGCCCCGCCAGTTACACGGTTTGCAATTGAGCCAAGCCATGTCAGCTGAGGTTGGTAGATTGTGAAATGAGGGCTGGAAGGGCGTTTAAGACGCTGAGCGTTTAGAATCTCTTCCGAAGCTGATGGAGGCAAGGACTGTATCTGCACACCACTACAATGCATTCAGAAATGACAGTTCAAAATCACGACAATTATCCTTACCGCTTGGGAATCAAGGTACGCAAAACAGTTTGGTTTCTCCCTGTAACAAGTATGTAATCGTACCACTTTCATGAATTATGATGCGCACTTACCAATGACTGGAGCGAAGGCCACTCTCCTCGTAGCAGAACCAAGCCCAATGCGAGCGGACATCATGGTGAAGGTGGAAAAGTGATTTGTGGAAACTAACGGCGATAGACGGAACCGGATCGTGGGAAATATAAATATCGGGGTTTCCAGTGATCCCGTTTGCCTCTGCAGTGTGGACCACCATGACCTCACCATGTTCTCAAACAACCCCATCATCTCCTGCTCATTATTTGGTGATCCCACCAGTACTACAGTCCCCTCCGTCACTTTCAAATCTCAAAGATCACCGTTTCAGCACAGGCAACCTATCCGTGACCACGCCCGGCACGCCAGGTCTTGAAAGTTCAGCATCATCGGTAACGAATCTTGATTTGAATGACAGCATTCTTGTCCATGAGGTAGACCCAGAGCTGGACACTACTCACAGCGAAGATACAACTGCAGTCGGTCAAATAGATGATGTAGCTGACGAAGGATCCAGGAAGAACCTGCGGGACCATCTACGGCGGACCTTGAGTGTTCAGAGGGAGAAATCAGGTATTTTCATCTTGATCAGTGCATACTGGCACTTCTGAGAGTGTTGTAGACGCAAAGCGAAAAACTGATGAATTTCTAGAAATCAGTTCCGTGTCTCCTGACACAAGTGAGTAATGTTATGATATATCGTCGTGAATATGGAAGATACGGCCAGTCTGGGGCAGACTTCAAGTCTGATGACCCGTGCCGAGCGTGCACCCAGACACAGTGGTCACAGATACAGAACTGGTATCTGCGTAGACCTTCATTCAGACCGGTCATTCAAGACTCGTCTTCGTATATTCATGTGTCTCAAATTTGGTGTAGCTCTTGAAGAATATAGACCTCGAGAGTACTTTGTACTTACCGACGCTGGAAAACCTGTATTCACTAGGTGAGGCTATTGATGCACTCAGTGAGGTCCAATGATGATAATCACTAGTTAGTCGCCCTGATGGGCAGGACGTTGAGAATTTATCCTCTATCATGGGCATAGTTCAAGCGCTTTTGTCAGTCTTCCTCGACGATGGCGATAAGCTACGCTGTATAAATGCCGGAAGATTGCGGATAACCTTCCTGCTTCGGTCCCCCCTGTATTATGTTTGCGCATCATCGTGGGGTGAGCCAGAGTCTGTCGTGAGTGGTGGCCTCGTGTTTTGGATATTTATTCGTGGGTCGATTAATTTGAACAAGAAAGACTCGCTCACACCTCGAGTATCTACATCTACAAATACTGAGCATCGTCACGGCATCCCAGCTGAGACGCATCTTCGAGCGTCGCACGAACTTTGACTTACGTAGGTTATTAGACGGTACGATAATTCATCTTCATTGTTCCTTGAAGTTTTTTGATCTTGCCCAAAAAATAGGTTCGGAACCATTTCTGTTTTCGTTGTTAGGTCGAATGGAACTCGACCTTGCAATGGCAACTTCTTCCTTGAATTGTCTACAGTTGGACCAGAGCTTGCGAGCGCGTGTTGCTGAAGCACTGGTACCGACCTCAAAGATGAAGGTCAAACCTTCTGCTGCACGTGAAAGATCGAAGTGTTAATGAGAATTTGGTTCCAGGATACCCTCTACATTATTTTAGTCGCACGGGGTCAGGTCATAACATTGGTGCGACCTAAAAAGCATTCAATACACCCTGCTGGCACGTACCCTCTCTCTATTCTGACGTGCGACCTTCATATATACTTGTTGCAGACATACATATTCTCGTCAATACTGTTTATTCTCCGTCTATTGTCAACTCGCCTGCATCTGCATCATGGATTCCAGTTTGTCTGCCGAAGTTCAACCCTGCTGGTTTTGTCAACGCATATATCACTTTTTTACATCGCCCTGACACAGACTATAAATCTTATCAGAGGACAACACTCGAGAACAATGAAAGTGCAGATATCACTGGCGCCAGTCATGTTGCCGAAAATAGTCATGGTGCCACTTCACGGCACACAACCAGGCCCATAGAAGATTCTGGCATTGGACTTGTGTGCATCAGCGGCGGGTCAGAGTTCGAGACTGTGCGAGCATGGTGCGACATCGTCACTCAGGTGTGCTAGACTATCTACCTTAAGTTCATTCATGTCGCTGACGTTGACTCCAGAAATTGAATGATGATGGATCCCTCGACGCGCTGGCCAGGGCTGTCGACTCCGGGAAAACATGCTACTTTGCCTCTCAGCTGGGGATACCTGGATTACGTCACTTTGTTTATAAGTCGAGGCCGCATGTTCAAATTACCTTACCGGCTTTTGAGGAGCCTTATGATACCCTCGATGCGAAGAGAAGGTAGTCGGTCCTAGAACTCTTCGTTTGCAGCGTACTCAACCACAGAAAATAGGATTGTCACATTGTACCAGATCGTACATGACGCCATACACGCAAAATCTGGGCAAACAGGGAACCTCAAGCTACAATACATTCGTACGGAAAAGGAAATAGTCATGGGTTGGGTAAGTGTTTGGCTGCTCAACACCGCTTGGTCTGATCATGTGGTTTCAGATAACGCAACCGTTCGAATTGTATGTGGTTTTATCGCCACGGTTACCCAAGGCTGCGGTGATCAATGCTGCAAACGCAGTTACTCGGTGGGTGAAGAAAGAGGAAGGACAACTTTTCCTGAGAGATGCCCCGGTTTTTTAATTGCAATGGATGGGCATACTGCATGATGAGACAATACCCTCATTCATTGGCGTCGGGTGTTCTTCGGTTGATGTTTGCTTAGTATAACTACGAGATCTCTGCATCAATCAGAAACATGACACCTTTATTCTCATCTCTTTGTGCATTTTAAGTAGTGCGACGCGTACTATCAGCCTGTTTTACACACAAACTAGCAGACGTGCGAGCGACTCGGTTCCGGCCCCGTGATAACCGTGTGCGTCTTTACAATATTAGCCTCACTCCGAATCTCCAGCCTGCCGGTATACGCAGGCTGACTTACAGTTCAACTGTGCGGCACAACTTACTCAGACAACTGACGCGTCTCTCTGGCACCATAGTGATCACACAATGGTGCTGACGAGGTGTCAAGGTGAAAAACATGTATAAAAAATGCTACCAACCTTCGGTCCTTCGCACAAACTGCAGTTAACAACACCAACCTCACTCGACTCTACAATCATGTCTATGACCAGCTTATGGGCACCCGTGCCAAAGCCATCATCTAGGCTAGCGCGATATCGCGTATTATCCCCTCATGCCGGCGTCCATGTATCGCCATTGCAGCTCGGTGCCATGAGCATCGGAGACAAGTGGGAGAAATTTGGCATGGGTAGTATGGACAAGACATCCTCATTCAAGCTCCTCGACGCCTTCTACGATGCTGGGGGAAACTTCATCGACACTGCTAATAACTAGTGCGTATCGTGTTGCAGTCATCTTGAATTCGTCGTCGTCCCTGACACACTTCACAACCTCTCAGTCAAGACCAAAGCTCTGAAGAGATCATCGGAGAGTGGGCAGAGGAACGCGGGATCCGTGACCAGCTCGTGATCGCCACAAAAGTAACTTTGGAATTTTATGAATATAGTTCGGTGCTGATGCATATATATTGAAGTACACGACCAATTACCAGCGCGGCAATGACGCCATTCGCCAGAAGGCATCATATACCGGCAACAACGTCAAGTCAATGCATCTCAGCGTCGATGCCAGTTTGAAGAAGCTGAGGACTTCATATATCGACATTCTGTACGTGCACTGGTGGGACTGGGATACTTCTGTCGAAGAGGTCATGAACGGTCTGCATGTGCTGGTGCAACAAGGGAAAGTGTTGTATCTCGTGAGTGTCCCCATTTCTATGCTGACATGAACATTCGTTAACGTGTATCGCTGGCAGGGCATCTCAGACTCTCCTGCTTGGGTCGTGTCCAAAGCGAACCAGTATGCTCGGGACCATGGAAAATCACCGTTTGTGATCTACCAAGGTGCTTGGAACGTCATGCTTCGGGACTTTGAACGAGATATCATACCGATGGCCCGCTCCGAAGGTAGATCAACCTTGTTGCTCGCTATCTGATGCCTCCACTTACGTTTGCCCCTGCGTAGGTCTTGCGCTTGCCCCTTGGAATGTCCTTGCTGGTGGAAAAATTCGAACCGACGAGGAAGAGGAGCGCCGCCGACAGACAGGAGAGAAAGGTCGCATGCTCACGAATCCCAGTTGGGAGCGCAACGAGACGGAGAGGGCGATGAGCGCAGCATTAGAGAAGGTCGCGAAGGAAGTCGGTGCTAAACACATCACAGCTGTGGCCATTGCATATCTCATGCAGAAGACGCCCTATGTGTTCCCGCTTATTGGTGGGCGAAAAGTGGAGCAGCTGGAGGCCAACTTGGAGTCTCTGGCGATTTCGCTAACACCCGAGCATGTGAAGTATTTGGAGAGCATCATCCCTTTCGATGCGGGCTTCCCCTCCTCATTCATCGTGAGTCACGTCAGCGTTCTGTTGTATCAGATTACTGAGACCTGATCCCATTCAGGGCGATGGCAAGCAAAACAGTCTTCTAATGAGCAATGCTGCATATATCGAGAAGCAGCCGCAGGAGAAACCCATAGTTCCAGATGTTGAATAGTATGACAGTGCTTGTAATGTGCACATGTACCACGCCCCAGTATTCTAAGCTGATATGAACAGTCACAATGCGTCCGTGCATTATTCTGAGGCCGACGATTCGGTGTACAGGCTGTGCAGCACTTGAGCAAATTTTAAACTGGGAAGCCATATGATCGGGAATGCGATGTTTAACGCTTCTAATCCGAATTGCAGTATTAGAAGTTCAGAACAGGTCTGCTAGACTATTTACCTCAAGCTCATTCATGTCGCTGACATTGACCCCAGAAATTAAATGATGATGGATCCCTCGACGTGCTGACCAGAGCTGTCCACTCCGGGAAAACACGCTACTTTGCCTCTCAGCTGGGGATACTGTGGAGTTACGATCACCTCAGGCAGTACTTCTCGGTAGCAATAAAGGTCTGTGAGACCCTATTTTTATGTTAGAATTATATGGTCTATGAGACCCAGTCTCGGGGACCTTGCTTCCTCCTCAGCGCCTCCTTGGATCCTCTTGGCCTTCCCTGGATACCCCGTACGACTTCGCAGCATCCTCGTCAATATCACCATCCCGTTTCATTGAGCTCTATGGCGTGCCTACCAGATACAGAGCCTCTGCACTCTTCATCTTCGACACTGCTTTCATTCGCTAAGTCCGTTTTTTTTTTGCTCTACTGTTACACTACTACATCCACCATCAAGCCGCCCATCCGCCGTACACGTGGGCGCTCAGCCAATATCTACGGGACTCGGATACCACTTCCTTAATAGCTGCAGTGACTCAACTCGACACTCGGACGGGCATTCAGAGTCCGTCAATTAATCCATTGAAGTTCCCGGTCTATGGTGGCTTGTTCAACTACTACTGGTAGCCTGAGCCTCCGAGTCCGAGTCGCATTTGTTACCATCGCATTCTGCCTACTACTAGCCTTCACGGTAACTACTCCAAGTTTCAATTCGGATCTCACTGTTCAAGTTGGCAGATCCGACTCATAAGTGCAAGTACCGTCTGTTTGTACTACCAGCACCATCAACATAAAACCCAAGCCATACCGTCCGCCCGGTCTATCCGTGGTGCTCAGTCAATCTCTGTAGGACTTGGGGCACAGCATCACCCCTCTTTTGGTTGTAAGCCTTTGTAATTGATTGTTTCTGGCCGCTTGTTCTTTAAAGAACACCCACATGTCCTCGCCGACTATTGCTGTATATTTCACGCAGATCCAGGGGACCTGATTGGAATGGACTGACGAAGTTTGTGTTTGGTGTGTCCGTCTCGAGTTTTCTTTTCCATGCTTGCTCACTGATGTCCCCATCACTTGCAGCCAGTCTCACGCGCTGCCTCGATTCATGGGTCATTGCATCCAACTATGTATCGTTCATCCGCCATACCACTCACGAGTCAGCTTCCGCCTTGTTAAGATATTACTTTCGACGTCGCTTTCGTGCGTACTCATTCTTTTCTTTTACATACGCAGTGACTCCTAGTTACACGCCTCAGACATGTTTACCTTTCATTCTCCATCTCAATCAGCGTATTAATTCGTCTTCCCATCGAATATTCTCCCTCCGGAGTCCATCTTTTGATCCAAGACTTAGGTGAGCTCTCCGATTCATATCTAGTCCCTTCCCCGTTCCTAGTCCGAGCCTCTTCACTTCTTGAGACGCCTTCCCACAAACTTCGACGACTGTAACACCGTTAACTTCTTCTGCTCGCCATATGTCCTCGAAGATGCTGAAACCCATCTTCATTGTGCATTCCTTTCGCCTCTCGATGTCTATGTCAATGAATTTAACGACAAAATTCTGGACAAATTGCTGGGCGACTTTCATGAGTATCATAAACAGACATTGACCACACACTCCGCTCACGAGACAATACAGAATCTTATTTTAGTTCGGACAGCGTGAAAAAAGCCGAACACACTTCATTGAACGCACCAGAAGACACCCCCGACTACCTCGCGGTGTTGACCCATCCTAGAGTACCTCCTCGTCGCCTGGATCTCAACTTGGAACAGAACAGCATCTGCCCCATTCAACGAAACCTCTGAGCAGAAAAAGTATTATTCAGAAATGTACGTGCTCGCGCGATTGCGCTCCTTCGTCGCTTTGTCAAAGTCCAACTCAGCAATATATTCGAAAGCCACATCTCCCGCATCAACTTCGTGTTCCATCCTTCGAGGTAATCAAGTCAATGGGCGGGTAGTCCAGCGATGCGTTCGCACTGTACCTTCGGGACCACGCAATGATTCTCGCACCGTACATTCAAGCGTCACCGGCTCTTGAACCTTTCACTCGGTACACTCTACCGCCAGTGTGGTGAAGGACAAGTGAGTTTCGCTCCTATTTCACATCAGGCTTCGCTACACGTGTCGCTACCTTCCTACTTCTTGGGATCACAGCTCACCTCGATGCCCAGTTCGGACTCTTGCTTCGGGCCGGAAAAGCCCTTAGTAGGGCTTGCGCCCAAAAGCACAAACATTTTTTCCCTCTACTTCGTCAATCCTAACACCTGCTTTATTTTGAGAAAGTCTTCTGCTCCCGTGTTACAGAAATCTACGCATCTCGTTTTCCAATATAACCGCGTCCCCGGTTTGACGCCAAGCAGACTGCAGTGCAGCACATAGACTGATCTTGTGGCTTCAGATAACGCAACCATTCGAACTGTATGTGGTTTTATCGTCGCGGTTACCCAAGGCTGCGGTAATCAACGCCGCGAACGCAGTCACTCGGTGGGTGAAGAAGGACAACTTTTCCTAAGGGATGCCCGGTTTTTTAATTGCAGTAGATAGACGCGGCGCCGATAAGACATTGAATACTCTCATTCATTGGCGTCCAGTGTTCTTCGGTTGATGCTTTAGTATAACTACGTACGTCAACCACTCGGATCAGAAACATGACACCTTTAGGCTGACCTCTTTGTACATTTTAAGTACTGTGATGCGTACTATCAGTCTGTCTTACACATGTTCATGACAAACGCGCGCCAGTGAGTGACCATGACTCGAAGTCGGTTCCGGCCCCGGGGATAACCGTGTGCGTCTTTATAATATTAGAATCTCCAGCCTGCCGGTATACGTAGGCTGACTCCTGTTCGGTATAACTTACTCAGACAACTGACGCGTTCTCTGGCATCACAGTGATCACACGATGGTGCTGACGAGGTGTCAAGGGCCCTGAACAACATGTATAAAATGCTGCCAACCTTCACACAAACTGCATTTCAACAACTCCAACCCAGTCAACTCTATAATCATGTCTAAGGAAATGTCCTCGTTCTGGGCACCCGTGCCAAAGCCATCATCTAGGCTAGCGCGATATCGCGCATTATCTCCTCATGCGGGTGTTCATGTCTCACCTTTACAGCTCGGTGCCATGAGCATCGGAGACAAGTGGGAGAAATTTGGCATGGGTAGTATGGACAAGACATCCTCATTCAAGCTCCTCGACGCCTTCTACGATGCTGGGGGAAACTTCATCGACACTGCTAATAACTAGTGCGTATCGTGTTGCAGTCATCTTGAATTCGTTGTCGTCGCTGACACTTCACAACCTCTCAGTCAAGATCAAAGCTCTGAAGAGATCATCGGAGAGTGGGCAGAGGAACGCGGGATCCGTGACCAGCTCGTGATCGCCACAAAAGTAACTTTGGAATTTTATGAATATAGTTCGGTGCTGATGCATATTTATTGAAGTACACGACCAATTACCAGCGCGGCAATGACGCCATTTGCCAGAAGGCATCATATACCGGCAATAACGTCAAGTCAATGCACCTCAGCGTCGAGGCCAGTTTGAAGAAGCTGAGGACTTCATATATCGACATTCTGTACGTGCACTGGTGGGACTGGGATACTTCCGTCGAAGAGGTCATGAACGGTCTGCATGTGCTGGTGCAACAAGGGAAAGTGTTGTATCTCGTGAGTGTCCCCATTTCTATGCTGACATGAACATTCGTTAATGTGTATCGCTGGCAGGGCATCTCAGACTCTCCTGCTTGGGTCGTGTCCAAAGCGAACCAGTATGCTCGGGATCATGGAAAATCACCGTTTGTGATCTACCAAGGTGCTTGGAACGTCATGCTTCGGGACTTTGAACGAGATATCATACCGATGGCCCGCTCTGAAGGTAGATCAATCTTGTTGCTCGCTATCTGGTGCCTCCACTTACGGTCCCCCTGCATAGGTCTTGCGCTTGCCCCTTGGAACGTCCTTGCCGGTGGGAAAATTCGAACCGACGAGGAAGAGGAGCGCCGCCGACAGACTGGAGAGAAAGGTCGCATGCTCACGAATCCCAGTTGGGAACGCAACGAGACGGAGAGGGCGATGAGCGCAGCATTAGAGAAGGTCGCGAAGGAAGTCGGTGCTAAACACATCACAGCTGTGGCCATTGCATATCTCATGCAGAAGACGCCCTATGTGTTCCCGCTTATTGGTGGGCGAAAAGTGGAGCAGCTGGAGGCCAACTTGGAGTCTTTGGCGATTTCGCTAACACCCGAGCACGTGAAGTATTTGGAGAGCATCATTCCTTTCGATGCGGGCTTCCCCTCCTCATTCATCGTGAGTCACGTCAGCGCTCTGTTGTGTCAGATTACTGAGACCTGATTCCATTCAGGGTGATGGCAAGCAATACAATTTTCTATTGAGCAATGCTGCATATTTCGAGAAGCAGCCGCAGGAGAAACCCATAGTTCCAGATTTTGATTAGTGCTTGTAATGTGCACATACCACGCCCCAGTATTTTAAGCAGATATGAAAAGTCACAATGCGTCCGTGCATTATTCTGAGGCCCACGACTCGGTGTACAAGCTGTACTACAGCACTTGAGCAAATTTTGAACTGGGAAGCCATATGATCGGGAATGCGATGTTTAACGCTTCTAGTCCGAATTGCAGTGTCAGCAGTTCAGAACATAGGAACAGAAAATATTAAAGCTCCGTTGTTTTCTTTTGTCGTCAAGTTTATTGTGGTCGACGTCGGTTAACACCTGTTATGTAGCGTGACATCGGTCGCCGTCACGTTCATGAAAACATTCCTTTTTAGGATCACCTCGGGATAACTGTTTTCATTTCTTCAGCCCGTCCCAGTGCTTCCTCGAACTCCGAGATGTTTAGGATTTCGTTGTCCAAGGTTCCATTGTCTCGCCCTGTGTTCCCTTCTATTCAAAATGCTCAGAGCAGAACAGTTACAACAGTGAGATGTGACGTTCCCCGAAGGGCCGACATTCCAAGTCCAAGAGGTCTAATTGTCAAACGCCTGTTTTTACTCGTTATACTTACCAGCTTAGGGCCAGGCAAGATATCTACGCCGCAAGACTTTCTTAAAGCCATCGGTCGTTCTTCAGAGACCAAAATATCCATAGATAGCTGGGACGCGTTCTGGCGCACCTCAGGATGGGATATGAAGAATGCCGGGCTGAGCATCCAAGATCGGAGGTCCGTAACTCCTCGCCTATATTGTTCCTTATCAGTGCATCATCATACATAAACCCAGGTATATTCTTTGGTGCATGGAAAAGTTTAGGCAGAACAAGCCGATAGAAGGGTTTGCCCACGAGGAGAGACCCAAGAAGAAAATACGGGGGTACGTACAGCTTTAATTTCAACAAGACCTGTCCTTTGTCTGATAATTATTGTTTATTAGTCGAGGTCCCGCTGTTCAATTCGGAAAGCGCATTCGCTCGCGGAGAGATCGGTAGTTCCGTACCGTACTCCAGCGTAATTTCGCCCCAGATCTATTCTTCATTACACGCATATTCTGAATTATTTGACCACCTTTGTTCAAATCGCGTTCAAACTGCTGTCAGCGGCTACCGGTGACCCTCTCGGGTAAAGTCTTAAGGCTAGAGCTGTCCTTTGTTGGTCCAGACAATTTCCCACGAGGCATACTGGAAGTTTCGCTTTCTCGACCCCACGTTGCAGTGCACGAGTTCAGAAGTCAAGCCCGAATAGGTTTTGACGTTTTCTGATCATTGTTCACTTGCTGTGCAGGATACAGGGGTCCCGCCTGCAATTTGACTGTACTACATCCTATTGCAAGAGATATCGACGATATCAAGTACACTTGCGATCTGCGTGAGTGTGCGTAATATCTATTCAACTTCCCGAGTAGGGGCTGTACCCTTTGTTTTACTCCCAACGACGATTGTGAGGAATCCACGTGGCAACCAGGGCGTACCACTTCGAACCGTCACATTCCCACCATGGTTGAATCATCTTATCTTGATCTAGCCGAGCATCAATTTTGAGGACCCTTTTGTTCTGTTCCGAGAACCAAGGGGTGGGCACTAGGGGTCTATATTCGGGCAATCCCTGGAGCGAGGCAGCCTCGATGTGACAAACATCGAGGGTTGAACCGTCGGAGTTACTTGAAAGAACAAAACGAGGTTCGGTAAGCCGAAGCTGAGACATGAAAGAAAGAAATCTATATAACGCGTCCAAGTCAACATCCAGTGCAAATCTACGTACCCCAATCCTTGCGCACAAGTCTACTTTGCCATGACATCCACTATCATCTATCGTCGTCAGTCTATGGCGACTCTCTACGACAAACTTCGTGCTCAAGACGGGGAAGATCATATGGCTTGGCTTGCCGAAGTTACCGCCGAGTTCGACACTGAAGAAATTTTTGTTCCTTCTGTCCCAAGTCCACCTTCGGTTATCTCATCTGGTTCATCTTCAGCATCTTCAAGTTCACCTCAAAACTCAACAACTTCTCTGGACTCTAATGATCAATTCGGAGGCGAATCCGACTCCGGCTCTGAGTCGGACTCGGGGATCGAACTCATTGATAATCCAGATGGGATTCTCTTTCAGTGTTATGACCCTATCCAATACAACCCCTCAGACTTGTATGTTTTGGGTCTATGTCATGACTAGCCATTCATCTTATGCTCGTTCATAGTCTGGACCACAATCTCCATCCAATTGCGGATCTTCCTTATATTCCTCCCGTCGAGCTCAACTGTAACCCTCCACTCAACTTTGAGTGCGACGCAGAGTCCCAAAACGCGCTTACCATGGAACCCACTCCCCCATCTTCCTTTATTCCTCAACCCGCATTCTCTACAGTAAACAACTCCCTACCATTTATGACGCGCTCTACTCGTTCCTTCCTCAAGCGTAACGATTTTGTTGCACCCCACGATTTGGAGGAGGATGCTGACGGGCAGAGTGATGCTGACGAGACGGATGATGAATATATTCCATCATCTTCGCGTAATCTGAAAAAGCGTCGTCGCTCCACGCGTCATTCCAGCGTGTCTTCCCATGTCCCCACCTATACCACGACCCAATACATATCACCTCCCGCAAAACGACTTCGCCCTTCCCCCCTTCCACGAAACGCGCAAGCCATCCCTGGTAGTACTCCTAGCTTTGCAAACAAATCCAACCCTTGGGCGTGTCCCTATTGCAAGTGGGTTCAGCGCAATCATCGTACTCCTGACCTTAAACGACATATCCGCACGCATACGCGTTTCGAGAGACCTGCACAGTGGGTCTGCTGTGGTATACCCACTGAGTCGGCTGCAATGTACAACGTCCCGCACGACGCGACTCCCTACATTCACAACGGCAAACAAATGATTGGAGGATGCGGGAAGGAGTTCAGCAGGCGGGACGCGCTCAAGCGTCATCTGGGCAATGACCATATCTCTTGTGTGGGAGATATCGACGCGTTTGCTAACGTTTACGACGATTAATCACGAACTTATGAAACGATCGACTTTGTGGTGGCTGTCAAGATAATCTGACAGGTGAGCTCGATGCCCGTTTTTGTTGTGGAACCGTTCGCTCATGAGTCCGCACAGCATTTCCTTCTATGTATTATCAAGTATCTTATCATACCCTGGCCACAGCGCTTGTCTCTCTCATATTTGGAACTCAGGTGTCCCCCTTCTACCCCAGCTACAGTTGCACCATCTTTTCTGTACATTGTTTGTTCTTAAATTCGTCAGAATGCCAGTATTAGTACATACTGTGTATGTACTTCCCATAGAACGACCGATCACTCTCCCATCTGGTTGTCAGACTTTTGACGTCAGGCACTAGTTATTTTCTCTTTCAATCATGAGACCCTAGCGGCAAGGTACTGGCGAATGGGCTCGAGATGTTGCAAGGGACGCAGTGGGCTGAGTATTACACAGTTGACAAGATGGTATCAACCCCGTATCTGTCTCAAACGCGGTCCGTCGCTAGACGTCTGAGTCAATGGAAGGGTTTGCTTCATCTCGGTTCACCGCGTAACACAATACGATTAGCATCACCGCGTCCTGTCATAAAATGGCCGAAGCCTGCAAAGCGCAGTGGGCTGAGAACCTGTATGACACAATCATTGGGCGTGCGCCGTCGGCAGTTTAGTTAAATTCTTTTGACAGTCGTTCCTGTGGTCGAGATTAATTGCATTTTTCATAGTGACATACTCCCGCGGCGGTGCCGCCCCTGAAAACCCTAATTATTGTGCCCGCTTTATTCCTAAGAACCAGGGTCAGTATATACATCCATGTCAGAGCATGAGTGTGATGTTGGGAAAGGACGACCGACAATTTAGGTGACACATGTCCACACACAGAAGATCATAGATTAGTCTTGATTCTCGAGTCACGTTGCACGTCTCCGTGGAATGCCAAACTACTCTCGTCAACACTCATGACGGTAGAGGGACTTGCATTTCAAAGAGCGTTCACACAGGAAAGAGCCGTATTTTAGAAGACTCAGTACTGGACGAACTGAACATTCATTCTGAGAGAAGGATTAACGTACATCATTTGCAACACATGGAAAACTGAACCTATTGAATCGGAGTGGAAAAAACAATGGCATCAGTTTACAACCAACAACCAACAAGCTCAAGATATCTATACCTGTATAGGGAGGAGCTACGCGCGCTTTGGAGCATTTTTCACATCTAACCTCTGTCCCTGTATCCAAATGCTACGCCTGTTCCGTTCGTCTCCAATGCACCACCACTTCTCCAGTACACCCAATGTGATACCTGACTGTGGCTCAAAGAAATCGAGCGCACCCACTCCCTTGTCGCTTTCTTTGTACAGTTCAACTGCAGCATCATTCGTTTAGGTATTATTTCTTGTGTTTGTTATTCAACTCACTGCATTGAGCGTCAAAAGGAGCACCAGCTTGGAAGACTCCGCATGAAAGACCGAGTGCAGTGGCCCCTCCCCTGGTAGCCAAATACAACGCGTCTTTCCAATCGATTGCGAGAGACCGTCCATCACCGCTCAGTTTTCTTGTACCGTCTCTGATCCTGGAAACAGCCACGGCCTGCCTCATGCTGTTCATGATATCTATGCTATATCCACCGGCGATATCTGTGCCAAGACCGATGGGTACGCCAAGGTCCAACGCTTCACGGAGCGGGAATGGCTTTTCCGAAAAATACGAGTTCGAAAGAGGACAGTGTGCCACTGCGGAACAGCTGCCAGCCATACGCGACAGCATGTCTGTATCCAAGAATGTACAGTGGGCTTGGACAGTTTTCTCCGTGAGTAAATCGAACTAGGATTTGAACGTTATCAACTCGGCATTCATTAAACACGAGGATCACTCACGTTATCAAAAACATCGATATCGTCTTTGTGGCGTTCGCTCAAAACCCACTGCACTGCTTCGTGGGCCTCCGCCAAGTGACTTTGGATTCGAACTCCTTTGTCACGAGCGAGTTTTCCGAGCCCTTGTAAAAGCTCATCCGAGCACGTTGGCACAAACCGTGGTGTAATCACAGGTTCAACGAGACGTCTGTGTGGTTCATAAGATGAAACCAAGTCGCGACAGCCGTCGATGAATTCCTCGGCAGAGTGTATTGAAGATAGAGCGGAAGACTCCACGTAGGAGGGCCGGGACGAGATATCCATTGACAGCTTCCCTACGAGCGCTCGTATACCGATGGTTTGCATGGCTTCTGCAAGGATTAGACTGTGATTCTTTCCAGTTAGCACGTCCGTTTGCGATATGGCGTTCCTGTTGAGCTTTGCGCTTACTTCGCTGTGGTGTTGATCGTCCCAAACAACAGAACCGCGCCAGTTCCGGCGTCTCTTAGGCGCTCTGCAAGACGTACATAAACTGCCTTTGCCAACTCTGGTCGGTTGTCCAAGCTTTCTTCAGACTTGAACGCATACTCATCTAGCCACTGCATCAGAGGAAGATGGAGACCAGTTCCCTGGAACAAGAACTGGGGCGCATGGAGATGCAGATCGCAGAATGTCGGAAGTAAAAAGCTTCCTGATGGTATGGTTGTGATGGGTATGTCGATTCTTGCTAGAAATTCCTTAGATGCTTCGGAGCCAGCAGGTCCTACATAACTTATGAAACCTTGGTGATCCACAACTAAGGCACGCGCAGATGGATTAATGTCTCGACGATCGCATGATGGAATATGAAATCCTCACGTAAAATATGATCTTCAAGAACTTCGAGTTGCCCCAATGAAGGGCAATGAACCAGAGTACCTTTGAAAGCAGTCACAATCGTCATGGTAGTCAACAACAATGATGATGTTTGTGACTATTCTGATGTACTGTTCTGAAGATCATGATAAGCCCATCCCTTGCGGGAATTAGCCACGTGCCAGTGTATAATGCTACACGAAATGGTCCACGGAGAGTTCCGTTCACGTTTCAGAGCTCTCTACTCTACAAGCGCTGTTCCGCAACCAATCTATCGTTACATCCTCTAGATGGTCATCGAAGTCTCCGAATTTCTCGTGAAGATTATGGTCGCGAACAAGGCTAATTGCGCGCGCAGGTGAATCAGCTTTGTCTAGCAAAAAAATTGATCCCGTTGTGAATGCAGGACTTTGCGCTATGCATGGCCGCCAGAATGACGTAGAAGGCTGTGGCAGATATGGCTGTTGCGTGTTAGACATCATGAGTTCACGATAATGGCTTAAACATACGAGTAAAGCAGGATCTCCTGTTCCCAACTTGTCGCCGTCAATCTTGAAACAAGAATTAAGTAGATAGTTTCCTAGTTGTAGTGGCTTATCCATCTACTCACAACAAATGCTACTGCATCGTTAAATTGGTCACGAATTTTCTGCGCAACCCGCTCGCCGACAGGCGCAAGAGCGGTGTCATCTAGTCTCTCGCTTGCTTGATAGTACCCCACTAGAGCCATCTCTTGTGCTTCAGCATATCCTTTCGCCTAGAAGCGTTACTGTCTGTCAGTATCATGACGAACGTTGTATTGACATAGAATGACTGTGACGTACCAAATCAAGTCCGATCTCCATCATAGGACTGAGGCTTGTCCAGTGATGGAGCAGTGGGATGACATCCTCTATCACTACCACGTCCGAGGCTCGTCTACCAAGTAGAACACCGTTCACTGGTAGGTGAGGATGTTTCGCCGCGTGAAAGAAGATTTTAAGGTACGCGTTTTCAGAAAGAGAGTAGGACACCATCGTGACGGTCGTGTATTGAACGTCTTTTGAGAGTTCTACCGAAATTTATAATTAGCATGACGTGTCACTAGGTGCAATCACCGACGATCGTGTCTGCTACTTACTAGAGCTGCTTCAATAAAAGTACAGCGGAAAGGAAACGTGGGAGAAGTCGGCCGTTGCACTCTCTTACAAAATCACACTCTACACCATGACGTCCAATGGCCCGGAGATATTCACCGCAACCTCAGCGTATTCTCTAGCTGGGGTGGCTGCCATGGCCTTCGTTGCGACCACTGGCGCAAAGATTCTACTGCCGAAGAACGCGCGCTGGCAGGACTCGTTTACTTTCATCTGGCTGGTTCGTCAGTCTACTTGCACATCAGGCTTTATTTTGACAACATCGACAGGCATTTGATGCATTGATTCACTTCTCTTTTGAGGGATCATTCCTATACCTCTCGACCTTTGGCAGGACCGTAAACTCCAGCGAGGGGCCATTTGCTGAAATGTGTGAGTGATCTAAGCTTCATGCTGGTCCTCAATCCTTAAACTAGATAATTGCTTATCTAGGGAAGGAGTATACCCGTGCAGATGCGCGATGGGGTGTTTCTGATCCCACTGTCGTCTCCCTGGAGATTTTGACGGTCCTAGGTGCGGCACCTATGTGCTGCTACATTATAAGGCAAATCGTTAAGGACGACCCTGCCCGTCACTATTGGATCATCGTCCTGAGCACCGCTGAGCTGTATGGCGGGTATGTATTTCGTTGCAAGTAACCTTGAAGTTAGTGACCCTCTTTCCAGATGGATGACGTTCTGTCCGGAATGGTTGACGGGAAGCCCAAGTTTGGATACTTCTAACCCGCTCTATCTCTGGGTTTATCTTTTCGTGAGCATTCCCCGTCTCGTACTATGACTATAAGTGTCTCACCTAATTTTGATCGCGACAGTTTATGAACGTCATGTGAGTCTAAGCATATGGTTTTATCATTGTCAATTCTGATGCTTTATCTCAGCTGGGTAGTCATTCCAGTCTGGCTGATGTGGGATTCATACGGACACATTGCTGGCTCACTGCGCCGCGCTCAGACGGTTACGAAAACAAAGAAGAACTAAATCCCTAACGCTAATATACTTGGTTGGTATCTATGTTGTCCATACCTTATATTTATGACCTTGTGTGGTTCACGTCAGATTGCTTTGCTATCGATATCAAGTCAGACGATCGTGAATATTAGTCGTGCACTGAAATGATTTGCGAACCAAGCGCAATGTTAGTAACTAGTCCACATAGTGTGTACCGAAGCAACCTAATTCTATGTTTGTAGAAGGAAAAGAAATTCGTCTCTGCTTTAGCAGAATCAATTGAAAAATCAAGCGTAGGGCATCAAGTCCGTGATCAAGTAAAAGAAGTAAAGCTAAGTCCATGTCCATGATGTTATTAAGTCATCTCGAGTTCCAAGCTGAGTCCGATTGAGCTTCAGGCTAAAGGCCCGAGGCACAAGCTCATACGATGGAGAACTCTGGAGAAGCATTTCCGGAATCACCGAACACTGAAAACACGTGTCAGAAATGCACCCAGCGAAATGACAAGCGATACATACAGACAACGATAGCATTGCTGCGAACCGTGGCGTTCCCGGAAACAGTGAACGTAACTTTGCCGCTGATGATGGGGAAATCCACAGCAAGGGGATGCTCTAGATTGCATTTCAACAACGGTATTCATGACATGATTAAGAAATGAACATACTGATGTCTAGGTTTTCGGAATCGTTTTCTAGGTACCCCAACAATAGGAGACCAGTAGAATTCATTTTCTCAGCAGGGACATTGTCTGTCGCCCAGGTCACGGTCTGCGTGGAACCACGGGGCCAAGATGTGAGAGGGGTAGGGCTAAGGATGGTAGGGCTCCAGGCGAGCAGTTCAACGGGATGGACAGGTGCAGCGGTAGAAAATGCCAACAAAAAGGCAGAAAAAATAGAGAAAATCGTCACGATGCTGAACATTCTGAATTGAAGTCGTGAAAAAGAGTGGGATGTGGGCGGTTGGCCTGGTTTCAAGGCTTATATTGAACGTGAGGAGACGGGAAGATTGAGGGTAGTCGAAATTGAAGGCGAGTATTTATATATGCGGCGAGAGGCTTGGCTCTATTTGTTGTAGCTACCGCGTGTGGGCCCGTGATTGAAACATATATATGATCGAAGACGTAAGGAAGATCTTGTTAAGAAGGCTGAATGCTAACAAGACCACTGTAGGCAGATGGGCTTGGGCTCACAATACCTCTAAGGATGGACCGTTCGTATTCTTCAAAATACTTCATGAAAAAACCTGAGCAAACCTTCCAGGAACCCGCGGTAGTGACCATGAAGAAGTCCTGAACTTCTTTCCCAACAATATGATGATTGATGGCCGTACGGAACGGTAGCGGATATTAGCGGCGAGGGCTATAGTCGTCAAGATCTTGAACAAATTTCCCGCACTACATAGTAGGCACACCAAGGAAGATAATCGATCCACGTAAATCGCTGGCATACGCTGTAGCCTGTGAGTCAGTGCAATGAGATCGTGAACCAGACCATCAACGTCGGACACCGGACACCGGGCTTACACTTCACCCAACGAAATAGTTATCCCGCAAGATCTTGAGACGCACCGTTCGGCTTTCCGTCATTCCATGGGTAATCTCACCCACGACCCGACTTACTGCTTCGTCGCCCTAGGCAGGAGACCGCGGACACACGAGGCACAAGCTGACGCGCTGCTCACACAAGGTCACATGTATTTCACGTGACTTGTCACGTCCTGTTGACTATCACAAACTGGTTGCTAACTTACAGACTTGATGTTAAATTATACTATTTAATAGTGGCATTCAAGGAAATTTCCTGAAAAATCAATAAGCTCAGTAAGCTCCATGAAACATCGGCAAACTTTGGTTAAGAATTCAAAGAAATGTTGACATAAGTGCAGCTTAGGTAGTAGGGCCACACACTGTCACCATCATAGATGGTTTGTATGGCAACCGTTGACAGATACGGTTGCTGTACCGGTAGCCCTACCAGGGGAGGTTAATGGTTGACTTCCTGTAAGGTTTTACAGGAAAATTCCTGATAATGCCACATCCAAAATGCAAGTTAGCCGAATAGCCGAGCCAAATTTGGTAGGTAGTGCCTTCGACCTGTCAAAGCCTGTTAAACACTCGCTGCTGTAAATATGACATCTGTGGAAGGGTAGCTACCCCTCCACAGATGTCTGAACTGCGGTTTCAGCGCACTAAATGCCTGATTTGGGTGATTTTCATTCCTATTTAGGTGGCCCTGCCCCAAAACATTGTCTCCTGGATTCCCTTCTGTCCTTAGCTTTTCTGTCGAGCTTGTCATCTACCATCCTTATTCAAAATGTCATCTTCTGCCCATTTCAGCGCCCCCTCTACCGTTTCCAACATCTCCGATGCAAATAATTCACAGTCCACCCCATCAGCATTTGTTTCAACCACTCAAGAACATAATCATGCAGAACTCGCGCATTATGGCCACCCTCAGGCATTTAACCATACTACAGAGGTAAGCAAGATTTTACATGTTTGCTTCTTGTGCTGACAACCTTTATGTAGTTCGAAGCTTCATGTTCATTTAGGCAGGGTCCACTGCCTCAACTGTCCAACTCCCACCCCACACACCATGGTTTCAGCCTTCCACCTCTCTGCATGTACACACCCGGATCTATGTACTTGAGTCACCCTGCCCCCACACCAATTCAACCTGACCCCACGCCAATTCAACCTGCCCCCATGCTTCATTCTACCTCGACTCATGTCTGTCCTCACTCTACACCTCAACTCAACAAAAAACCAGCCTCATCTGATGAGTTGGAACAACCATTACTCCCACCTCCAGCTAAAGGCAAAAAATGTGCATCAGCACCATCAGGATGAGTGTCGAAGCCTCTTGCCAAGAAGGAGAAAACTGAGGTGCAGTTGAAAGGTGGCAAGGGCAAGGGGACTGCTAAGCCCAAGCTGGAGCCTGATAGCAGCGAGGCCCCCAAAAAGGGATGCAAGGCTGGTGCCGTTGGCTACTCCATCGATTGAATCTGCCTTGTCTGATGATGGTGAGCTGTGAGAATAGTGTGTATAATTTATACCACTACGTAAGTCCCGCCTTCCAATGGGAATCTATCTTACTTGACACCCTTGTAGGTCGATGAGACAAACCCTCTTCGAGGGACTGTTGTTCATCTTGCGGGCTACCCTACTGGGTACCATAAAGTCACTAATGAGGACCTGATTGCGTTTTCAGATATCTTGACTGCATCTGGCCAGGGAACATCCATCTATTCACAGTCTTGGATTTGCTCCGAGTCCGCGAATGGCAATGCAGCAAGTACAAGCAGCGCCATTGGATTGCACCAAAATGCAGCCATACCTGCCCAACCCCAAGCAAGTACTTCTGCAGACCATACTATTGGTGGGATCATGCAGGCGAATGATCAGTGGCGATATCCGCTTGCCCATATTCGAATGCTGATCAGGATTGCTGTCTGCTGTGGTGCAACGCCCAATCCCCACCTATTGGCCCTTACAACTGAACGTGGCCAGAGAGTCGAGATAATCCACCAACTCTGGCCCCTCAGCCTGATGAGGTCCGAGGTTGATCCTTCGACCTTGGAGACCGGTAAGAACTCATTTTCCTAATACCTCCTACATGTGTTGATTCATTTCCAGTTCTTTCTAAAGTCACAAAGAAGCCTCTTTCTCAAAATGACATATTGGACTTTGTACGTGTCCTTCTTGCTTTCATGTACTCGACTTACTGTAGAATAGGCTGTTCCATGGTTCTTGCAATTTTCCTATGATGTGAGGTGCAAGCTGCACGACACCCTCGACGACTCTCGCACAGGTTTTGGCCTCGGGGACGGTGCCTACGGTGATGTTCTGATAGACAAGATTTTAGACTGCGCTCGGATGTTCATCAGGCCATGGGCAAACATGCTCCCACTTTCCGTGAGTTCTCTACCTTTTCAGCCATTGTCAAACTCTTATTTTTCTCACAGGAAAATGGATTTTACTGATTCTTGATCCACCAGATAGCTAAAGAGATCGTTTACCACGTTGTCTTCCGTTCTCAGGAGACATGCAATGTCCGATTGACCATCGCCGATCTTGAACCCGCAAAGTTTTGCAATGCTCCACATCCACCGTGGGAGGCATTGACGTTCTTCGCATCATCTGTATGTGATCTCACTCATCTTTGGGTTTTTGGTTGACTTCAATTGTTACATCAGTGTTATGAGGTCTTACTGAAAAGACTCTCCCATTACCCAAACTGTGACACTTTGTTGGCAACATTTCCATGCCCCAGCCAAGTTTTTTCAGAATTGAAGGAGATGGGTCCAATCCTCTTGCAACAGCACAACGATCCTGACATCCAGTTATTCAGGCAAACACTGAGGAGTTTGACCCTTATAACGTGAGTTGACTCAAAATGTGCGTTTTGTCCCACAACTAAGGTGCAATGTACAGCGAAACCGATGTCTATCGTATTTCCCGGCCCAAGAAGAAGAAGTAGTTTATTTTCATTGTGTCACTTAACGGCTGTATCTGCTATGTGTACAATATGTTGCCTGTGATCACTAAATTTTTACATGAACATCTGTTGCTGCAAGCGTCTGTGATATCATGATAGTCGCCACAGCAAAAACTACCAACCCACCCAAAGGTTAGAATTACGCCATTCTGGGTATTGAACTTTGCTTACTAACGATGGCCACATAGCAAACTTTTTTTTAAATTTGATCGCCATCACATTGCTTTATACCCTTTTTGGTTTACAATCCGCCATAGTCCAACTATAGATTGCATGATAGTATTCAACCATCGTGAGAACGTCCCCTTCCTGCTCCCTTCAACTTCAACATGTTAAATAATATTTGTCCGGGTGTCAGACCAACAATTCCAATACTTCACGTTCTTGAAATTGAACAAACCGAGGCTGCTCTGCTTGGTTGGCTCCAGACGAAGGGCCGTGGCACTGTCAGTGCCTTCGCATATTTTCTAAAATATCATCTTTATAACTTCACGTTCAGCTTCCAGAATCTCTCATTATCACAGCTTCTGTGGTGTTTGGATTGGTCGATGCACATGATCTTACGGCTCTGATTGACATGTGCCTCAAGGAGGTCGCAGTGCACACGCAGCTCCAGTGAGAAGAGGGGAGTTGTATGGTATTCCTTTTGCAAGAAGGACGGTGTTTGATGCAAGATCGAATGTATCGAGCTCAAATGGAAGTCTCATCATTCAGTAATGCTATCGCGAACTTGTGCGAAGAACTTGAAAGTAGAAATCACCCCAGTATGCTGTTGAAAAGATAAAATTCTGTCTGATACTGAAAATGTGTTTTCTAGTTGACCGACACAAACCGGTTACAGTCGACATAGCTGTGTATGCTGGAGTACGCCCGGTGCATAGTTCGGTCAATGTCGATGGCTTTCAACCTTCAAAGGCAACTGAAGATAAATGTAATGCATGGCTCCTCGCATCGTCGCACGTTCAAGGCATTATGCAGGTTGACCCTGATACTATCCGCGCGCTTCTCGATTCTCCGAAAACTATGGAAGTACCTCATCTTGCCAAATGCCTTTTAAGGGTACATGCTATTTAGTCTATGAGAATCCAGTGTTCTTATACTGTGCAGCCAGACAATTTGCTTTTGCTACCTCGGTTGTTGAAAACCTGGGTAGATAATGTCACGTACCGTGCTTACATGAACACATCCTTCGCCGAATGCAAATCGGTATACATTATTGACAACGAGAGCTTCAAAACGAAGGAACAAAAATCTGTGAATGTGCTCAAATCTGATGTCTGTATTCTAGACCTAAAGAAGCAACACGCACAAGCTGAAGTGGACATGTTTGCGGAAGCTATGGAGCGCCTGTCCGAGTTCGAGGGCACGTCAGATGGTGAGCATGTAACTTTTTTCAGCTCATTCCTACTAATTTTACTGTAGGCATATGTTCCGAGGCTCTAATGTTTGACTCACATCTACCTGAGGACTATCTCGGGGATTGGGTTTCAGAGTCATCATTATCCTTCTCTGCCAATACTTCCATGCTCTTGTGATCTTTGTGCTACCTGTTTGTACCAAACCTCTCCTTTCGTCGTCCATTTTCTCACTATTGTACTGGTATTCCGCATATGTGTGTTAGTTTTGGTTTATGTTATTTTTGCTACTATCACTGTCTTCAATTATCATCCGCTTATTGTTTGCGCTCTTGACAATGTGATCCTTCGGCCTTAAGAACCTCTAACATCTGGGTTGTAAACATATAAAGTCATTCCCCCTGCAGTGCGTGATCTTCATGTCCGTTTCCGAGGTTTCGTTTTCCCTTCCACTTCTCCTCTACTATGTGTCAATACATTGTTGGAAGCTTGATGATGTTAGCATGTGATAGAGCCCAAGTGGCTGCTCCTTGGATAGAATGTATCATGGTTTCCCTTGACACTGCCATGTTGGAGAATTATCATTCCATATCAAAATTGAATTCTCCCTGATTTTTGATGAAGTTGTCATAACATGTTATGAGTCAATTTATCTTCAACCAACCAATTACAGCATACATATGTCACATACTTATCGGATACTTATCAAAATGATATATCTTTAGCATAGTCTTATATTTTTTCATACATATGTCATGTACTTGTCAGATATGTATCAAAATGATATGTCCTTGGCATAGCCTTGCATTCTTTCATACATATGTTGCATACTTATAGGATGTGTATCAAAATGATATGTCCCTGACATAGCTATATATTCTTTCATACATATGTTGCATACTTATAGGATGGGTATCAAAATGATACATCCCTGGCATAGCTATATATTCTTTCATACATATGTTGCATACTTATAAGATGTGTATCAGAATGATATGTCCCTGGCATAGCTATATATTCTTTCATACATATGTTGCGTACTTATAAGATGTGTATCAGAATGATATGTCTTTTGTATAGTCTTGCATTCTTTCATACATATGTTGCATACTTATAAGATTTGTATCAAAATGATATGTCCATAGCATAGCTATATATTCTTTCATACATATGGTGCATACTTGTAAGATGTATATCAAAATGACATGTCCTTGGCATAGTCTTATATTTGTTCATACACATGTTATACAATGATAATAATATATAATTCTAGATCTAGGTGTATCATAATGGGTTTGATTTGTCAGCTCTACCTGGTCATATAAATTTCAGGTTGTTTTCCTGATGTTCATCTTCACCAGCTTCCTCCACATTCATAGGTACTAACATCCCATCATTGGCAGCATTGGACCTTTCAGCATCATCCACGTCCGGAGGGTCTTGATTAGGGTCAGAGGGCATCCTAATTTCTGCTGGATGCTGGATGCAATGATGAATGGTAGTGTACAAGATTGATACTACTGCCAGTGATACCTGTTATCAGTGTGACATCTCAAACTATTTGAGATTATTTGTACTGTACTGAAATTTCAAGTGGAAATTGTGAAATTTTGCTGGCCAAACAGACTCTTACTACTTCGTAGAGTCAGGGATCATTGACACCTGAGGCAGAACGGAATCTGTCTGCAGGACAGATTGGTATCATATCTGCAGAAATATTTTGCATTGGTGATGGAATCTGTACTGCTGTAGTATTGGGTATCAAATTTTACATATGTTCATGATATGACATTTAGGCAAATTGGAGGGACAATATCCTAAATCTGATGGCATCTTATAACTAAACTTTGAAATAAAATCTGTTTTGCTCTAAGATACATGTCATATATAAATTTTAAGTATGAATATGGTGGCTGATCAATTTTAATTACAAATTTTCAATATGAACCCTATACATATTTGGTATAGAAATTTCTTATTGGTCAGTCATCGAACAAATTCAGAATAATACAAACCAGATCTGCACATACAAGATATTATTGTCATAGTTTCAATATGAGCATGGATCTGGTGCAAAAACAAAGGCTTCCTTTCAAATTCTAAATATTGTTGTCTATATATTCTTCATTTGGAGATAAATCTGGTAGGGAATCAATTTTGACCATAAATTTCACATTTGTGCGTTATTTGTTTAGGTTTGACGTTGAACAATAGATGTAAAATACTTTACAAATATGTTCCGCATATTACCCTCCAGCAAATCCGGCAATGTCTCTGGTGTGAGTTTCAGCAAACATCACGTGATGTGACCAAACTTACGGAAGTTGTTGATTACAGTGTAGTCCTTACATTTACTATTCACGGAGTCATCTCCTCCTTTGATAGAACACAAATGACAATTTTAAAATGGATGTGATGTTGTGAAGGACTTACACTACAACTCATCTGTCTTACTTTGACTCTATCTTAAAGTCATGAAGATCCTTTGCGTTTTCATTGCTTTTGTCATGCTTTATCATAACCATCTTGTTAAGAAATCGTATGTGGTTGTATTTGGTTCGTGGCTATTGCTCACCGCCGACTGGTTTGGAGTCTGGTCCGGACAACTTCTGCCACACATTTTGAAAACGCAGCGGTGGCAGATGAGTCACCAGACCCGGATATAATTCCGAAGCTATGAAAGGATATCGAGAGACTCGTGCGTGGTCTTTTATTCCTTTGTAGAATTCTCATCTTGACCGCTATTCCAGATCCCCAGACTTCCAGCAGTCACTTCCTTAATTTATCATACCTGCTTCACATACTGTCTTTTTGGCGTTGCCTCTCTCCCGATCATCCTTGCGCTTGCAACTCAAAAATTTAACAGCATTGTTAAGTTAATATACGGGAAAATTTTCGACAGGAACGAAATTGAAGTAAATTGGAAAATACGGTAAGGGAACATCGTAGCCCTTCAATGACGGTTCAAGTCTAGGTCGGTTTCAATGGTACCCGTCTGCCGGTCAGAAACGGCGATTTGTATCTGTAATGCGAAGTCAGTCAATTAAAATGTTATTTCCCCTTCCATGCAGAGGCACAGAACAACGTCGTCAATCAGATCCATAGGAAACGGATGACCGTTACAGTCGTCTTTGAAACCTTGCTGCACCTAGTAGCTCCGCGTGTCCTTCAGCAGAAATTAACAGCACTATCTGCGACGAAGAGTAAAAACTGAGGATCATGATCGTGGCTAAATAATGTTGACCGCATAGATCTGGCCAGCCTCGAACTTTAGTCACGGGCATCAATCAAGATCTATGCATGGTTGATGGTCCCACCGAATCGACGTTGTCTTCGTCGGATCGGAATCGACACCGATAGCTTGAATTTACCCCTTGCAATTAAGGATGGTCGAGGGCTTGATCGTTTCATCTTACTGCAACGGCCCTGTCAGTTACTCAACACCTTCGAATGCCGAGAGTAATACCTAGACAGGAGCGATGGACAGGATTTTATCGACGGGGAACACACCGGTCGACTGTCGATCGGGATCTTCTGATGCCCACCAGTGCCCGCCACTGGGTGGTTCGTTCGTATCAATCATGAAGTTCTGCGACTCAGAGTCTAGTATCATCATATCATAAGTAT